CAAGTTTCTTTTCAAAAATTTACCCATCCTGAAACTAATCTTGTCTTAAATATTTAAAGAACTACTTGCTTGATTTAGTAAACAAACAACTGAAGATGTTGCCTAACCTTCTTTTTTATGTTTGTATATAATTTTTATAGAAATTACTAATCAATGTTTTTAATGTATGGGAATACTTTACTTAGTAATTTCCATAAAAAGTATAAAATACAATAAATAACATTTAAAGAAATTATTTTTATCCAACCATGACGTGTTCTTGTTTCAGCAGAAAGCTACCCAAATGGGCTGTCTGCGCTCTAGTCACCGTGAGGAATCTAGCCTTGGATTTCATAATTTTAAATCCGTAAGTCTATCGCTGATCCACTGAGAAACACTATGACGTGTCAACTAGAACGGTATCAAGGTTAAAGTTAATGGTTTAAAACACTGGTTTTGTCATCGTGGACAGTTCTGCACAGGTGGAATACAATGTCGTGTAAATTTCATTATTGTAAAAACAACTGATTATGATTATCTCACGGAAATCAAACAGTAAAACAGCAAAACTAAACGCTTTTTACATAAGATCAGTATAAAAAGATGGGTTGAAAGTAGTGGTTCAAACGGCAGAATGGTTTTGTTTAGAGATCACAGAGAAAAATACCGTTTAACGGTGCGATATAAAGCGAGATTTTTATCAGAGACAATATTATCAGTCAGGGTGCGATGTTAGCTTTGAGTGAGTGATCTCTCTCATCACAAAGACACCGTCGAGCGGTCTGCCATCTGCTAGGATTTATCTGTATCGTCTCGGTTAACAAAACATGCAGCTCGGTATCTTTCATGCTAAGCCTACAAAGATGAACCGCGAGTTTACTCTTGATTTAATTTATCAACTGTTTTGATTTCTGATTTTTTTTTATCTATTTTCATTATGTTCTTGACTCGTGTACGTTAGTGCTTACAACACAACTATAGGAATGTTCACTTTCTATTTCAGATTGAGAAACTATGTTACTGTGATAGGCTTAATGATTATAATAGAGAACATTAAAATGGTGTTTATAATTCTATATTTGCTTTGTAATTTCCTTTACCCTACCTATTTTCAGGTCCAGGATATTATGAAGTTTATATTATCGATTTATTATCTATTGCATTCCAACCACTGTTGTGGCTTCCAAGGTTTTCTGAAACAACTGCGTATTTGCAATTGTATAGACTTAAATCTAATTCAGTAATTTAAACGATAAGACAACTCGTATTGACATAAGTTCCCTGGTACTAATTAAATACTACAAAATATCACGAAGTTCATATAAGTTGATACCATGCTTATTTTTTCTGCACTGTGTCCGTCGCAGAGATCTAAATTCAAATTTGAATGTTATAAGCTTTTTAAGTTTTTTAGCTTATCATCGAGCTCCACTGGGGGGGGGGGAGCAGGTAAATTGAAGTTGATCCTTAATACACTAGTAACTCTTATGTCTGAAATTGAAAAATAATGCATAAACATATACAGTCTCAAACTTAAACTTAACTTTAGTATCACCAAAGTTAGTGGGATTTAAACATTAAACACGAGGGCTATCTGCGCCAGCCGTCCCTAATTTAGCGGTGTAAGACTAGAGGGAAGGCAGCTAGTCACCACCACCCACCGCCAACTTTTGGGCTACTCTTTTTACCAACGAATAGTGGGATTGACCGTCACATTATAACGCCTCCACGGCTGAAAGAGCGAGCATGTTTGGTGGAACGGGGATTCGAACCCGCGACCATCATATTTCGAGACGAGCGCCTTAACCACTTGACCATGTCGGGCCAGTTATTCAGCTGCTGATGTTTTTCTTCTTTCGTATAAGCATTGCTCTTCCAAACTGTACATAGCTCACTAACCTGTTGTTCATTTTGGATTAACAGAGCTGCAATTTTTGTTCTTAAACCATATTATTCATGTATATATGAACAATTGACACTCTCAATAACATTATTCAAGAATCCATAACTTAAATCATTGGATAAACTGTTCTCCAAGTAAATCGTATTTCCGTACAATATTAATCCATGAGATTCCTAGTTCTAACGTAAGTCGCACATCCATACAATATTAGTCCATTAAACCGAATTTCTATACAATATTAGTCCATGTGAAAAACTAGGAATGAATTGAAATTATTGTTTTTATGTCGGAGCTTTTTCGTATGAAAGTTTCAGTTGGAAAACTCTATGTTATGTTCAAATAATTTGCTTTAAACAAAACCTATACTACTATAAGTATAAATAAGTAAATAAGTGAAAAAATTCTTAATTACGTTTTTACCGTCATAGATATGTTATTTAAAAACAGGAATAGGGCCGTTTCTTTCTTCGCTTTACACTAACTACTTCAGTTGTATCAGCAAACTTTTTTTATATAGAAAGTAATAACTAAAATTATATCTCTCTCTAAGGAACAATAGTTTTCATCCGCGTTTACACTAAACATAAAATAAGCTACTGCTAGTTTTATGGATTTGTGGAAAATACGTTAAATATACAATCATCACTTACATAAAAATCATAATACTTCACGTTTACAGACACTCTTATTAAGTTACAAGAAATGACACTCCAAAGATGAACAAGAAAACGTTAACTGAATGAGGAACATGGAAATGGATCATTACTTTATAATGGGTTCTGTGAAGTAGGCGAAGCACTTTCAGAAAATTGCATTAATTTTCGATGGGATAGCACAAACGAGATTACGCAAAAAAAACAACAAAAAAACGTAAAATTAGCTACCTGAATGGTGTCTTGCAGAAAACAACAAACTTGATTTTATGTTATAATCATATATATTTTACTATCTGGGTGTAATTCTGGATGAAAATGATAATATTATTTGAATCAATCAAACCTTTTTCGGACACGACTACGCCAGTAGAATTTTCAACGATGTATTACAATTATACAAGAAAAAGTTATGCTTCAACTTATGGTGTAGTTTTATTTATATTTATTAATCATTTTCATAATAAACTTACTAAAGCAAGTTGTAACATGACTCGTTGTTTATAAGTTAGCATGATTGGTAAATTAATACCTAAACAAATAATTATTGGAAGAAACAGAAAGTAGTCTATTTTTTTCACGTTCTTTAGCTGTCGACTTTCTATGCTCATGGAAGATTATCTTCGATACGAATTAAAAAAGGCAGGTTAAAAGTATGGACTCCTTATTGTCTTCACAACTTAAAATTGTATTTTCTATTCCACTTTATATTAACCCGTGTGTTAGTTATCAAGTTCAAATACACACATCACTGAAATCGCCAATATTTCACGGAAAATCAAATCTTAGTTTTAACGCCTTGAGCACATTCTGTATTTAAATAAAAACAATCAAAACTTTGTTACTAGTATCTTAGAAATATTCAATACTTGAATAAATAAAACTTATCCCTAATACCATAGGGTATTCCATACTTAAAGATAATTAAAACGTGTTAGTGGAATTACATAACTTTGTATGGGTATTTAATACTTCAAAAGAAATGCACAATTTGTATTCCCAAAATTTTAGCGCTTTCGTATCTCGAAATAAATGATTAATGTATTGTTTGTTTGAAACTCATGTGTGTTCCGTTCCCCGCTGGGATTGAAACCCGATTTGTAGCGTTATATGCCCTCAGACTTACCGTTGAACAACTTGAGGCATGATTAATGTAAACAATTTCCTTGAAGATTCCATATCAGTAATTACCTTTGTAACTGGTGTTACCAATGTATAGAGGATAACTCACTTAAAATTCCTAATTGAATATTAAATTGTACGTTGGTGTAAATAACCTTTGAGAATAAGAGTATTTTCACATTTGCGAGTGTGACAAACAATAATATACCGTTGAAACGTCCTCAAACAATTGAATTTTTGAAAAACTGATATTCAAACTGATTCGTTTTTTAAACGTATACTAACTTGAAACTTTTTGTCATATATTCGATTCTAAGACTAAAACTTAATTTATGACCATGCACATAATATGTCTGTACCTAAAAATGACAATAAACAGATTCTGATATTTAGAAGGTAGTTAGCGTAGTTTAATGGTCACACAAATCGGACTTGGGAAGAAGTAAATCTAGAGATGGGAGTTTACTTTGTTAAATAACTTTCTTGGTTTGCTTCAGTTATGGGGTCGAATCCAACACGGTTTCAGTTCTATACAAAATTTTCAATGCTCACAGTAGGGGAATATCATGGTCAACAATTTTCAGTAATAATTAAATAATCACAGACAATTTTACTCTACAAATGATAACAACTGGTATTGAAAATACATAATTTAGTGAAGGCACCCTAGTTTTTTCACATGATTGTTGGAAAATACTTAACGATTCGACGTGGTAAGGCTAGTAGATCTTCTTTTACTGTTACATTTATAAAACCTAAGTAAAAAAAAGTAAACATTTTATATAAAAAATACGACAAGAATCTTGTTGAGTGTTTTTTTGTTTTTGTTTTTTTGGTATTCTTTAATTTTATTTACCTATGAAATCTATATTATACAAATACACAACAAAGACGTGTTTCTAGTATTTTATACAGTCATCTTTGAAATTTTATGAATGGTTACATGTGTTCAAATAACCAGATAAAAATGTAGAAGTAAAGGCATTAATTTACAACATAATCACGATTTAAGTGAAATTCCAACAAATGTAGAACTCAAACTGTTATTTACTTACTTTGGTATTATCAGGCCTATTCTTGCCATTATAATAGCAGTCTAATTTAAATTAATTTTTATAGTTCTTGTTGAAATATATCCACTGTAAAATTTGTTGTTAAAATCGTGTTCTTAGCAGTTATTTTGATTTGAAAATAATTATCTTCTAAGAAATAATTACTAATTAAGGGTGCTCGAAAATAAAAAAAATCCAATATTTATCAAACCTATACGCAATAGGATACCATCGTCATTAAAGTTACATATTTAATGCTGTCAATGTCTGTAGCATGTTTACTTTTTTTGGAAATTAACTTTTTTATATTTCTGCGAGGGGTGCAAGGGCAAAGCCCCTATGTTAGGTGAAACTTGAAAAAGTACCAGACAAATACTGTAAATCAAAAACATTTCACTTAGAGATGTAACATTTATTATATTTCAAGCTTTAGCTATCTTACGTAATACTCTCTACGGCATGTATTTTTGATACCTGCATGATCTAATGTAACATGGCTTGAATTTCAAAGAAAAATTCTGAATTTTACATTTCTTAGTTATCATCATAGCTCATTGTGATGCAGACCAGGTGAACGCTAGGGTTTTCAAGTCGTTGCAGCGATAAACCTAAATTCACTCAATTAGTTGGGTTTTCTTTTCGGTACAGTCCAACGATGGTGTTTGAATTCCGACCACGTCCGAACGGTCCTTTACCCAGATACGGTGTTGGGCGAACCGATGACAGTTGACAAAACGTTATCCACCAGCTTCTGCTAATGACCTTTGATATCCTCAAATAGGAAACCTGCATACAGGAAAAATAATCAAAATTATTAGAATTATACCAACAGGGCTTGATGGTCATGTAGTAGCCACAAAGTTAATATAATTACTGTGTCGCCCTATAACATTTCTTGGACGAGCTTGATAACACTGAATGAGTTATTGTTGTAACTATAGCGATGGAGATGTCTTTCAAACGTTTTTACGTCCTTACTTTATGAAGAAAGGCTTTATAAATGTGTTAAAGCCTTGTTATCATTAATATAGAATGTTTAATGACAAATAAGGCTTTCTATTCATCAACTTGTGTTATGATAAAATAAATATAACATTATTTAAGAATTAAAAGTAATTTCTCACTAAAGTATACTTCTACCATCAAAGCACTGAAGATTTCAATTACGATTTAATTTTAGGTCACTAATTTCAAACAAGCAAGTCTACAAAAGAGTGCAACAAAAGGAAATACTAGAACATCAATATTAAGCCGCCATGCTTGAGTCGTTGTCGATCATCTTTAAAACAAGCAAATTTTGTGGTTACTCAAAACAGCTAAGCCTAGTTTGTAAATTTGTCTTTAGGTTATGTGCATTTAAACTTCAGTTTTAAAAATTTAAATCCGAATCATCACCTATAAAATACATTGCCAAATATACTCTATAATAAATATGAAATATTATAAAGCAGAATAATAAATCCGTAAAAAATATATATAATACAATTTCCAAATAACTTTATTACAAATAAAGTTTTGTTGCCCTTTGATGCAAAATATATGAACAAATACAAAATAGTATTTGGCACATTTATTTTTAGAGTTTTTGCTGGCATAAATCGATTTTTTAAAGTTAAGTATACGAAAAAGATTGAAAAGATAGGGATAAACCAGACTGACAAATATATAACCACAAAATGGTGCGAACGAAAGGAATTTCATGTCATTGTAATACGTGGAACACATAGTAGGTTTGGACTGTATCAATAATGCGGATGGAAAGCCTTTTGAAATTCCTTTAAAGAAGAAAATACTGTTTGTTTTCAAAACTAAGTTCAGCAAGAAACTTCAAAAGAAACGAGAACATTCTATTAGTCAGTCAGACGTGTAATATTTATTTTTATCATGGAAAAGACTTTGTCACATTCGTCGTGGTAGTGTGTTTCTTTTTCTTTATTTTACCTATACGTGTTGATGATGTGGGTCCTTCCTACTACACATATCAATTGGCAAACTTAAGCTTTTTTATTGCCCTTTTGCGGAATCTGTTCTTCTCATCACAATGAGTGTTACTGCAGTCTTTTCTGAGTATTCCTCCTTCTATCTTTTTTTTCTTAAAGAATACCTTTTCTTTCTGAAACTAAAACGCTTCTTTCTATTTTTGCAGTATATAAAATACCAGCTACGTTGTTTTATGTTGTTCATCATTTGTTATTAGTAACACTAACTGCACTGAAATCCCACGCTTTTACTAAAAATTATTTCTGAACACCTTTGCTGTTTTAAGTCCTTTGACTATCTAGCCAGACGATTTTTTTTTATCCACCAGAGACGTCGCTAAATACTTAAAAGATGCGGAGCTCGGTCACATAGGCTCGGGAATTTTCGGTGTTTCAATATGATGTCGAGCATGGTTTATTATTCTGATTTTTCAAGACACCAACTGGGGATTCGGGGCACGGGCTCCGTGTGCCAATGCCTCGGGACGTCTCTGTGATCCACGTAAGTATTTTTCAAATGTTTGTTAAATACATTATTCATTGCTGTTAAATAATAATTGGGTTAAATATTTTCTTACACAGATCGATGTTTTCACATTTCATCTGAAATGGAACATTTTTTTTACATAAATTTACGTGTTTAGACTTACAAGTGTAAAAACCAAGAGAAAGATTTCTTGAATAATACAACTGATAATCTGTATTCATAAAAAGGTTATAACTCAATTTTTGAACTTGGAAAATTGCTAAACATCCGTTTCTAATCACATTATGAGAATTTTTCATAAGCTGAAAACCTGTCTGCCACTTTTTCAACACATCTTTAAATGGGATAAAACTTAGATGATATCAATAAAATGACTATGTTATTCTAATGTAAATTAATAAATTTGAAATTTCTTAAATTCCAATATTCTTTATAACTAATACCTCTACATATGAGAAGTTTAAATAACATGCTTTATTCTTACATTTCGAAGCTTTGCTAAGTGACGTAAGCTCTAAAACAAGTTATTATTAGTAAGACAGATGTTTGAGTCATTGAAGTAACAAGACAAAGGATAGTTCAGTGACTAATATTTATTCTACGAGAAGATAAATATATAATTTTGCTAGTCCCATGTATGTTGAGGGAGCTAATCTATGCCTATAAAAGTAAACATTCGACAGTTCTAATACATTTATATAAAGAATAGCAAAGTAAACAAATTAAACACAAAACAAAAATGACAATAAAAATAGAAGAATGTTGAAACGTGTTATTTCTTTCTACCGTGAAAGTGAGTTTTCCACTATACATGTATTTCGGTTCTACAGAATAGGCTTATCTCCCGAAAGACCCACCTGGCAAAGATAGAAATTTGTTTGCTCAAACCCAACAAACAAGTTTTTTTTCCCTCTTTCTTTGTGCATCGAAAACTGTAGTTCTGTACCGTCAACAAGTTTCCTTGAAAATCGTTTTGACATTTGAAGGTTTTTATTTTGTTTTGTTTTTTATCCACGAACGAATTCCCTTTATTGTTGTTTCACAGCGTTTATTTTATTTTATTTTATTTTATTTTTGAAGGCGGAAATAAAGTTGGGATGTGGCAGCAAGAAGCATACGTACAATTGTCGTTTTCTGAAAGCGGAGGGTTGGGAAAACTATGATACCACAATACCTTTACAAATACACAAATGTTGGATCATGATATACCACAGGTTCGGCGTTGCTATACGGCGGATTCAAATTTCAACCAATGAAGACGTCCTGCAGCAATGACCCAACACAAGTCGACAGGCAGCTCCGGGTAGGGTCCGCAGACGCTCGGAACCCCGGCTGCTCGCTCCCTAGGGGTCCCCAAGATATGGGAACCAAACATGTCGAGCGACGTGCCCGAGTTGCCGGACAACTGCCCTTGGCTTTGGTTTACTAGACGCTCATAGAGCGCAATGAGCGTGTTGTAACGCGACCTGACAGCAGATAGGTAATTTGTAAATTCATGGCTTGTACGCTCAACGCCCTACTTGCTGTAGAATATCTTACTTTCTGTCAGTGCACGAGACCGAGAAATATCGGATTAGGTTTAACTCCCTAAGGCATGCTTGAGTTCAACCAAACTGGGCAATTCAGACAAAAGGCTTAGCGTTTTACTCTTCCCTGTGGATCATTGTGTCGTTGCATCAGTGAAGTGAGCTTCACTTCTTAGATAAACTGATGCTAAAGTCTGCTATTCACCATCGTTCTCTGATCCTGTAACCTCAGAGCACACTGATCTTGCCAATGACAGTAAGAAACGAGTTTTATACCCTGTTCTTTTTACATTCACCCACTCAACCCTGCTAGTCTTACTAAACCAACCATAAAAACCTTTCCGTTTAGTTCAGAGATTAAACGTTGTTATTTTTATACCTTTTGATGGCTTTGTTCCCTGTGAAATACTCTAACAAAAGAATATTCCATTTTAACCACACAATAACCTCCACCCAAGTAATGAATAAACACAGCTGACCAGTAACAGAACATCTCTTAAGTCTTGAACTTGAAATGCGTGTTTCTTAGAAATGAATGCAGATTATTGTTCCAAAAATCAATCGTTTATCGCGGACGGAGAAAAAGATACATTTCCTGAAAAAGAACCATGTTCTTATGGATACAATGTTAACTAACATGAAAATAGTTAACAGTCAAACGTTACTAACTGGTCATATGCCTCTTGTTAATAGAATCAATTTTGTTTCTTTTCAAAATAAAAGTTTGAAAGTTTTGTATTCCTTCATTATTTGAACACGTTGATTGCAAAAAAACAAACAAAAACAATTGATAATAAAATAAAAATAAGTAAATGCATTTGTAAAAAACATGTAACATAGAGAGACCACGAGTTGTCAAGTAGTAACTATAACAATATCAAATATACATGAATTATCACGTGGTAGCTATAACCATATATAAAAAAATATAAATCATTATATGGTAGCTATCAAAATATTAAAAATTCACGAAATATCAGGTGGGTACTATAACAATATCAAACAAATCATAAAATATCACGTACTGCCTGTAGAAGTATTGGAAATCCATGAATTATTACGTACGTAGTAGCTATAATAATATTAGAAAAAAACATAAATTATCATGTGCTAACTATAACAATATCAAGAATCCATTAATTACCACGTATTAACCATAACAATATCAAAAACCAATGAATTATTATGTGGTAATTATAACAATATCAATATCCATGAACTATCACGTATTAACTATAACAATATCAAATATCAATGAATTCTCACGTGGTAACTGTAAAAATATTAAAATCCGTGAGTTGTTTCGTGTTAACTATAGCCTTGTAAAAATCCATGAACTGTTACGTGTTAACTAAAACAGTATCAGTTATCTCCTCACGACACTTTCATAACTTGATATATTATTCTCTAATAATACAGATATATGTTTTTAGTGTAAAAGAAACACTGCAGTTTTCACCTAATTAGTGCTTGGTTGTTGGATAAAAATACTAGTAATTATAACAGACATGAATAGAAAGGTAGACTTGAATACGTAAACATACAAAATGGCGTCAGTTTCTGAGTTATTATCACGTGCTCAGAAGCTCTTCAAGTTAAAATATTCTATACACCGCGTTGGACTGTTTCTCCCTATATGCATTTTTACAAGTTCAGTCACATCTTTTAAAATTACTCGTGTAGTTTAAATATTTTATACTGGGAAAAGCCTCTAACTTTAAGTGTTTCGTACTATTGGCCAGCACATTGGAATCTCGAGGACTTCATTTTGTTAAGTATGGACTATGATTTATATCATCTAGAAATTATTGAGTGAGGCTTTTTGTCAGTGCCCTGTAAATTGTTCAGGTTTTTAGTCATTATGACAAGATTGGCTTTCGTTTCTTTCAAGCTATCTCTAAACAGCTACAATAAATTTGTGCCCGCAGCTAAATACAATTATTGTACTTAGGTATATGTAGCTAAGTGCAAGAGCTAACCCAACACGTTTACACTGTATTAATAGCCATATCACAATGTTTACACATAAGTTTGTGTAGCTAAACACAAATATAAACAACCATGATATAATAATTATACCAAGATAATGTATCTATGACACTATTTAAACAATCGTATGCGAAATTATAAAATAATATTTGTACATATAGCTATACCTAACTAGAGCACAAATATTCATACACATGTATATTTAACCATAATACAATATTTCTATGTAGGTATATGTTACTATAACACAGTATTTATACACAGGTATATATATAACTATAACAATATTTAAACATAGGTACATAATGCTATAGCATAATATTTGTACTTAAGCATATGTATCTATAACATAATATTTGTACGTGGGTATAAGTTGTCCTAATTACATCATCACTTTTAAAACTAAAGTCTAGGAATCTATGATACACTACTAATGTGTGTGTATTATATATTTATATATTATATGTGTGTGTGTGTGTGTCATTTGTTTAAATTGTTGATGACTAGCTTGTATTTCCTAATTCTATAATGTACAGTAAACGTAGTTGTCAAGTTATAATTTATATTTTGTTCGACATCTTTTTTGAGATCCTGTTAATTGTATGTAAGGAATGGCCTATAACTAGTTTTAGCATAAGGAAACAACTAATTATTTTCTCTGTTTCACAAATATAAGTAGCTTTCATATAAGGAACAGACTCAGATCCTGTTCTGTGTCAGTCAAGTTGTCCTACAAGTAAGAAGAAACATATATAATTCTTATTCAACTGTCTGAGAATGTATTTGTTACGCTTCAATTATATGACTGTGTTCCAGGTTATTATTTACACTTCCGCAAGAACAAAAGTGGAGTTCCAACTGTTTGAATATATACTTGTTGTGTATTTCCTTAATTGTTATATTCAATCGACAGATCCATCTGTTGATACATGTACACACTAAGCGAGCTCATCTGATCACGTGCTTATTGCAATACGTAACATTGTGATACACAGCTCATCTGATCACGTGTGTATTGCAATACGTAACATTGTGATACACATCTGCTGTAACTAGTGGAACATGAGGTTCGAACTGTTATTTTTAATATTCGATTTAATCCACAAAAGGGCGTTCCAATTTAATTCGCCAGTGTTCAAAAATATTCTTATAACTATGATATTATTCTAAGCATATATGAAATAAACAACTAGGATATGCATAGTAAAATATGCCTGAAATTAACTCAACTGGTTACGTAGAGAATAGATTGTAGGTTACGATATAACCTACGCTTCATTATGCTACCGGTCTAAAAAATTATACGGCATTCTTAAATTTCTACGTATAGCAATGTGTATAACAAGAATAAATGCTTTTACTTTGCTATTTCTGGTCTGACATAATAATTTCATATGAAGCATGTTACAAACTCATACTACTGTGTATGTTTCTGTATAAAGGCTTATGTCTAATTTGGCTGATATTCCTCAGTAATATTGCTATATATAATTGTGATTTTGAGTGTTGGTATGCTATAAAACACGTGGTTGCGAGAGTTCATATGCTACAATACGTATAAATATGAATATTTGTATGCTACAACACATGTAATTATGAATATTTGTCTGCTACAACACATGTAATTATGAATATTTGTCTGCTACAACACATGTAATTATGAATATTTGTCTGCTACAACACATACAATTATGAATGTTTGCCTGCTACAAAACACATACTTACAACTGTTGATAAATTGGATTTTGATAGGTTTCAGTCTCTCAGTCTTACCAATGTCAGTTAGGACTAAGTACTGTCAGTCGCCGAGCCTATCAACCTTCTCCACACTGTCCCACCTTCAAATATAGCATACTCTTTAACTTCTTCAAATGATGTCCCTCTCCTTTCAAGAGCATCTTTTATTCCTAATTCGAGGACTTCTAGGTGGCCTTCTTCCTTGTGGTTCCAAATTCATAAACTCTTTTGGGTATCTATATATTTCCAATCTCAACATATTTTTTCCAATAATTTACAGTATTGATGTTATATTTAAATCATTTTTAATTTGTTAATTTTTGCACTAACATATTTTATGATGGGATAAAACACAAATTATTTCAATTGACAGTTCACCACATACACATTACTTCGAGTGTTAATAAATTACAATGCTTATGAACATTATTGTTCTCAAGCTACAGCACACGATATTAATACTCCTGGTATAATAAGATACAATAGACAAGAACATTATGATATTTTAAGGATTGTAGTGTAATAGTTAAAAATATAAATAAAACACAACATATTACTCCAGAAAACTTAATTTGTTTTAGCTAAGACAACGTTTTGCCATTATAACTTCATCGGGGCAAACAAGACACTTGTTAATTGATTTAGTTTATAGAAAAGATTAAAAAAGTCATAATGTAGTTTTGTTAATCTTTTCTCTAAGCCTAAATCAGTTAGCAAATGTCTTGTTTGCCTCGATGAAGCCGTAATAGCAAAACGTTATCTTAACTAAAACAAATTAAGTTTTCTGGAGTAATATGTTGTGTTTTATTTATATTTTTATAGATGAACATAACTGTTTACAAACTAAAATGCACAATATTACTATTGCTAGTGTACTACGATTCAATACACATGAGCATTACTGTTCTCAAGCTACAGTACACGATATTATTACTGTTGGTTTAATACAATACAGTAACATGAACATAACTGTGTGAAAACTACAATACACAAGATTACTACTGCTGGTTCAATACAATACAGCAACATAAACATTCATGTGTGCAAACTGCAATACACGAGATTACCACTGCTGGACTAATACAATACAGCAACATTAACATTGATGTGTGCAAACTACATTACACAAGATTACTACTACTG